TGGCATTTATAGCTGCGTGACCTGGTAAAAGTATTCCTATGCAAAAATGAAAAAAAGACACCCATATTTCATCTCCTTTGTCGTGAATATTACTGATCATAGAACATGAGTCAATCTACTAAATCATAGCACAAATGTCCGTTCTTCTCATATTATTGGTGACTAACGTTGGGTCTGATATACAGCTCTTTTTCAATGCACATGTCTTCTGCATTTCTATATTGGTCAATCTAACATGATCGAGTCTCTAAAGAAGCAGTTCTAACTATGGAACCTTTTCGCTTTTCTGAGCTCAGTATTTCTGAATAAAATTCAAAGTTGAATAGATTTCTATTGAAAAGCCTCTTCCTTTTCCTGGAAACTTAATAATTGCATCTAGACCACTTGAGAGTATGGTTAGTGTTTCCTTTTTGTTTGTTTGTTTGTTTGTCCGTTTGGGCTGGTTGGTTTTGTTGTTTGAAACACTCAGCAACAGAGGAAGATCATAGAGGCTTATTGTTCAATTAGTTGAGCGGGAGAGAAAGAGAGAGAGAGAGAGAGAGAGAGAGAGAGAGAGAGAGAGAGAGAGAGAGAGAGAGAGAGAGAGAGAGAATTGTATCATCTAGGGAAAGAGAGATGAGAATTTAGTTGAATGCCATTTTCTCTGTTTTCTGCTGAGTTGCTAGTAAGTGCTGCTATTACAACAGACACCTGAGATTTCCAGGTGAAAATAAGAAAACCTGTTTTGATTTTTGACTTTGGAATGTTCAGTTGTCTGGAGCATGTGCAGCAATGGTAGAACATGCACTCATCTGAAGGTCAGGAAGCAAGATACCAGTAAGGACTGATGAAGCTTCCCATAATCCACTTCCAGGCATTCTTCTAGTAACTGGAGGACCTCCCCCCCAGTCCCAAATATCATAGATTCCAGGACATCCCAACGGCACTGCATGCTGGGAACTCTGGGCCTTTTGGGAGACATTACAGATCTGAGAGACAACATTGTTTTTTTTTTTTTTCTTAAAACTTGAGTTTGTTTCGAAAATGTGCAAAGCAGGTTGTACTAGATGTGACTTGCACTCCTGTGCCCCTGTTTTCTTTACTTAATTAGTATATAGATTTAGAGGAAGCTCCATCAGAGATAGAAATACCCCCCTCAGGGCAGTGAGAAGCATCCACAGAGCAGGGCCCTTGATAGATTCTTATCTAAGCCCTGTGGGCGTGTGAACTTCAAGTTCAAGCCTTTTGAGAACAGATTGAGGCACCACATTCCCGGTATTTCTCTCCAGTGGGAACAGAAATACCCATGGAGAAAGTTTCTCAAACACTCTCTGCCAAAACATCTTGCTCCAAACTCCCACAGTGCTTCCCTTCCATGAAGAATTCTAATTTGCTTCAAAAATAAATCCAGTACTTACATGGCAGAAAACCCCATTCTGCTAATGACATTGAGAGAAGTATAGATTGATGAGTAAGAAATAGTAACTTAAATTATAAAAATCACTCTACTTTTGATTTTTATAGGAGTAAATAACTTCTGGCTACAAGTTTACCTTTAAAAAAAATCCTCTATTGAATGCAAGCATTGGTTCAGTAATCTGTGTAGCAGATATTATATATCTAGGCTAGCCCAGATTCTTTAAACATACAAGCACACACAGACACACACACACACACGTTTATGGAAGATGAACACCCAAGGTCGCATCATTTATTTGCCATTAAACACATCTGCCCAAAGCCACAAGGTGGTATATTGCTCTTTTCTATAACCTGCAAGATTATAGCAGCTTATTGAGGTCAAATACTGAAATAAATTTAGTCTGTCATTCTGATGATTCCTTTTTAAGTATGATGTTATGGTGAATAAGTATATTGGAGGAAATACTAAGATATGCTTAGGGCCCATTGGTGGTGGGCACACCTTTAACCCTAGTACTTGAGGGGCAGAGCCAAGCAGATAGATCTCTGTGAGTTTGAGGCCAGCCTTCTCTGTAGAGTGACTTCCAGGACAGCCAGGTCTACACAGAAAAAAATAAGGCTTAGCCAGACAGGATAGCTCATATCTGCGATCCCAGACCTTGGCAGCCTGAATTAGAAGGGTTCCTGCAAGAGTGAGGCCAAACTGAATTGTATACAGTGAAACTCCAGTTTATCCCCAGACATTGAGGGAGGTTCTGTCTTGAGGAAACAAAGAGAAAATGTTTCTGCTGTTTTCTGCAATTAACAGGAGGATTAGGAAGAAGGGAGAAGATGGGAGGATTAACACTTGCTGGCAAGGTGAGGCTACAAATGGAAAATATCACCCAAGCATGGCAGGGGACCAATATAGTGGCTATCTTTACAGAAGAGGATCCCCTGTGCCCAGTCATACCAGAAACACAGGGTGCCACTAACCATGACTCCCTTTTACAGGAGAGGGTCTCCTGTGCCCATAACAGTGGCCCCCCTTTACTGATAGGAATAGGACCAGCTGTGTCCGGTGACACCAGCAAAATGGGGAACCAAGAAACATGGCCTCTCATTTACCAAATAGGATGAACTCTGCCTAGTGACTGGAGGTCCAGTGCAGTGACCAGGTAATGAATAAAACATATTCCATGTAGTGGGAGAATATTGAAAATGCTCAGATAGCTAAGCTCACATTTCAAAAGATAATTTGACAAAAATAAAATAAAATAGGGGTAGCATAATTTGTCACGTGGTTATTTAAAGAATTCCTAAAGAAATGGTGGTCGTGTCCTGATGTATTTCGTCTGCAACCACACAGAATCTGTTTACCTGAAACAGTGGAAAATACCTTGCAAATAGTGGACTATGGGAGACCAACACTGGGAATCCTTGAACCTCAAATTTCTTAATTAAATACAAAGAGTTTATGCTGATTAATTCATTAATCATTTCCATTGTGATTATTTCTTTTTTAAAATAATACTAATAAAACCTAGAAACTGCTTAATTATTTCCTTCATTGATTCATTTAAACAGTCAGTAATGAGTACTGACTGACCAGTAATGTGGTCAAGATCCTTTCAGTAAAAATAAAATGAGCTAAAGAGAAAAGATTTCTTTCATGAACTATACGAAGTTGAACACAGATCCCACAAAACTACCAATGGCTCCATTACTACTGTTGAATAACTTTTTCCAAACTCAACTTCAGACCATCTCAAAGATAACACAATTCATGGAGTCTTCATCAGAAAATGAATACAGTCCCTTAACTACTCCAGATGGATTAGCTGGAGTAAAATTCACCTGAAGAGGAACGCTGTCATTCAAAATGTAAGCCCTCTCCTCAAAAAGCTAGAACACTGGTTAAGTTCTTTTCCTTGCGGGTGGAACTTCCTATCACAGATGTCATTTGGATGTGACAAGGTTCCTGAAGACACTGGCGCATGTACCTGGCTGCTTAGTTCTCATTGTGTACCATTCCACCTACTGTTTATTCTGTGAGTGCAAAGCCCATATTTATAATACCTCAGAATGGATCCCAAATGTCTTTCATATTTTCTGTGTTAAGAAATATGGTTCTTCTCTCCCTTGCCTGGCATAATTGTAAATATAACTGTTTTTAGAATAATTAAAGCTAAAAGAAAGCAACTCCTTTTAGAAATGACCTAGGTCAGGAGGCTTCCTGGTTTTTATTGCCACTTCAAAGCTCAACCAGATAAATCAGCTTAAGGTATAACTTTGGCCTTCGGTGGAATTCCACACAGCTATCTGAGTAGGATGCATTTTAAGATCACAGGCATTTTGCATGCTTTCTGGTCCATCTGTAGTCTATGCTGAGAATGGTAAGGTTTTTTTTTTTTCTTTTTTTTTTTTTTTTTTTTTTTTTTTTTTTTTGGTCCACTGCTATAACAGTCAGGATTCTGGCGGCTGAGCAGTTCATTCATGTTTTCTGAAAGCCACACGAGAGCTGTTAGCTCTGCTGCCCAATTTAAACTGTTTATATTTCCTTTCCAGGACACTCCGGCCAGCAGGATGGAACAGAGCCTGGCCATAGAAAAGCAAGTGCCTGGATGCCACGTGGTCCATCTCCTTTAGATGCCCTTGACTCATGCATCCTGTCTGGTCTGATGTTGTTTTTCTGATTGCAGAGTGTCTGGAATGTCCTGAGATGGACATACCACCTTCCGAGGGTGAGTCCTGTGTACAGTAGCAATTGTGCTTCCCTGGGCCTCTCTGTCACTCTCTGATTCCACTCAGGGGTCTAAATAAAGCCAGTTTTCAGTATAAAATGAAGCCTTTGCTTAAAGACTCCAGTTTAGTGCTCCAGAGAGAATTAAACTAGAGAATCTTTAAGCCTAAGATATGAACAAGATAATTTTTTAAACTAGACAATTTATGTTAAAGTTTTAAACAGAAAATTATTTCTTAAGAGAACAGGAAATTTAATTGAGTTATTAATGTTTTATTTAATAAATGATCCAAATTGAAAATTAATCTCACACATGAAGCAAAATGTTTATGGAGGTTCTCCCAATGTTTATAATTATACCAAATTTTAAAATTGTTTCTGTTCAACTGTATTAGTAGATAGCCTGAAACTCAGCCTGAGAAATGAAGCAAGCAGTCAGTTCAGTTAAGAACATTAAGAGGCAACGGGATGATGGTAAAAAATATTGGTCTTTTTCTTTTGACTACTCACAGTGAAATGTCTGTTTAAATACAAAGCAAAAGTAATAGAAGAGGAACAGGATCAGGATCAGTAAGAAAGGTTTTCAGTATAGAAACATAGAAATGCTTAGGTTTCTCTCCATGCCACTGACTGGGAATAATGAGTGCGAACAATCCAGCTGTTTGAACTTTCTGTCAAAAAGTCTTGGGAGAATTATATTCATCATTCTCATAACCAATCCTGATCAAATGTTAATAAAATTACAAGGTATAGAGACATGTAGCTTTTATTCTCTTTGTACATTCTGGGAAACATTTGAAAGATAATTGAGTACTTGTACTGTCTGTGCAGAAGCTAAAACCAAGGTAACTGATGGCTCATGTGTTACATCATTGCAGAACCACCACTTGTGAACCAACCTTTCTCTTGGTGAAGGTTTCCTCTTCTGAACCAGCTTCTCCTCCTCAGTTCCAGCACATTTAAATGGAGGTAAACAAAAACAGAGCTCGTCTATTTTTCTCCTAAGTGTAACCCTGAATTCTGAGAGATCAGTTATGGTGGGAACTTAAATCCCAAATGGAGCTGAAAGGATGCAGAGGAAGAGTGTGATGTGTTGCCAACTGACCGAAGGTTTATCTTTTAGGGCAGACTTTGTCTGCAATGACAAATTATTCCTTACATTCCCATACAGTTTATCTTCTCGCTCTTTAGTCTCTAAGCCTAAACTGCCTGCCCTCAAATGTAATTGCTTCTCTTGCTCCTTTATGAGTCATTGCCGATTCAGCTAAGTCCACCTTGGAAAATCCCACAGCAACGAGAACACCTGATAATGTACTATCGCAGTGAATTACGACGCTTCTTCCCTGCATTCCTATCCATATTTGGACTCCGTAGTCATGGAAGAACCGTTTTTCTTGTGTTAAGAACCTTTCATGTAGTACAATTATTCTATGATTTAATCATTCCTTTCTTAGAAAAATGTCTGATTAGAACATGATATATTTGTAGTGTTCTTTTGGAAAATTTAGGGGTTGTGAGAGATGATTAGCAGGCTTCCTTCCTTCTGGCAAACAGGGAAAACAGTGGAAAAACAAAAAGAACTTGAACAAAGACTTTAACATACAAGTGGAAAATCTATACAGCTCAAGACACTTGGTGATTATTGAAAAGCTTTGATGTAACAAACAAAGGAAAAAAAAACATGGCAGAGAGAGATCTTGAATTTGGTATGGAATACAAGGTTGAAAAGTTCTGCCAAGGGTGGCTAGGCTTTTCACCAACAGTTGAACTTTGAACATTGATGCCTTTGTCAACTGTAGTACATGGATAAATCTACCCAAGCTTCAAGTACTGAGTTCTAAGTCTGAAGCAGTACAGTAAGTTCTAAATTTTCTTGCTGCTGTCTCACAACGAGAGCAGAAATGTTCTATCACACCACACATTTTCCCTTTCTTTACTAATTTCTAGGACTGTTTTAGCTTCTTCAAAACGTCATTTCTGTGTTGTCATGGACAGTGAGAACATCTCTGTTGCTTTTCTTTTATCTAACTTCAGCAGAACTGCTTCCCAAGGAGAAACTCATCAGGCTTCAGACAGGAACTTCCGGAAAATGCAGCTCTTCGTAGAGAATAAAGAAATCAAGAGTCTGAATGGTAAGAAGTTCACTTCAGCCAAGGCAGGTGCCCACTAGAAGACGTTACGATACCCAGGGAGGCAGCATATTTTACATTCATGAGTATAACCCACAGAGGTGGATGGGAAGCAATCTCCATACTGTTTAGGCTGAAAAGAATTTTATTCCTAGGAGTCTGCAAAGCATCTACAAACTTGCATACCAGTGACCCCTTTCCAAGGAATAACTAAAACTTTGCATGCCAGGTGTGTTTGTCTCTCAAGAGCTGTGGCCTACTGAGTAGACTTACCCATGGGACAGAGTCACTCAAGAGCTAAACAGTGCCAGTGCCAAGGGAAACGGATGGTCCAACAGATGTTTCTAGAGATGCCTCCCTCCCTAAGGGCCGTGGAGACATAGTCTGGAATCTAGATGGAGTTCTTGTGAATGGCAGCAACAGTGTTTTCAGGAGAGAATATTTTACTTTGTGGCTGGTCTTCAAGTCCGTCTGCATGTCTTTGAAATCTAACTCTGATTGTCTCGACAACAGCCTCTAAGGAAACACTTCTGTTTCTGTCTAGAATGGAGGCTGTTATTGGGAACTGAACACAGCCACTCATCTACCAACTGCCCCAGCACTTTTATTCCCCATAATTGGAAGTTTCTTTGTTATGATTTGGCAGATAAGCATTTGCCTTTCTGAGTTATGTTCTCAATTTTTTTTTGTTTGTTGTTCAAAACAGGGTTTTTTCTATGTAACAGTCTTGGCTGTCCTAAAACTCTAGATCTTGCTGGTCTCGAACTTACAGAGATCTGCCCGATTCTGCCTCCCAAGTGGTAAGGTTAAAGGCATATGCCACCCCTGTGTGACCTCAATTCTTTTATTGGTGATAAACAAAAGTTCACTTTCTTTCCTGACAATGTCCTGGGGTAAGCTAACCAAAAGAGCTGACAGCTACTACTTCTGTCTTGACTATCCCAACCCAAGACCAAATTGCCAGTAGGCACATTTAAGGAATACATCTAGGGTAAGATGATTCTAAATGGTGCCCAGTGCTCCTCAAAACCCCGGAGTCCGTCCCTTGATATGTTTGTTGTAAGCCTGCCTATTTGTCTTCAGGAATCTGAACGCATCGTGGTTATGAGCACTCACATGTGAAGTTAGTTATAGAGCCCAGTAAGCATCCTCTTTTGCCTCCATCTTCCTTTGCATACTCTGATGCAGCACACTGCCAGGTGCTGAGCTACTCCATGAACACCATAACTTAGCAGAGAGCAGAGGAAGGACATGGTTACTGGCCGAGAAGCTGCAAACACTTTCCATTGAACATCTCACTAAAAGGAGGCACGTGGCATCAATAACCATGTGAGCATCCTTGGATGGCCTGTTTCCTTGGTTACCCTAAGATGAGCATGGTTTCTAATCTTCATTTCCACCTCAAAGTTTAAACTCCTCTTTTACTGGGAATCATGAAGGAATAAAGAAAAAGCATTAGTACCTAGGTGACCCCTGGCATCATGTGATCTCCTCGGCCTAATGTCAACTCTGCTCTTTGGAAGGTCCCCCAATGGCAGCTGTGCCTGACCATCTTATTGTCAAGGCTGGAAGATTTATCTTTATGGGTCACTGCAGCCATATGCAACACCTGGCTCCGAGCCCAGGCCTTCCAGGATGCTGTCCCTCCGCCCCTGCACTATAAGAAATTCCTTTCCTCTGGTGTCCCACATCAACACAACCGCACATGACAGTGACATGCATACTGTAATTACGGATAATGTCAAAAACCTGGTGGTGGTGCAGGCCAAATATGCTAAACTACTTCTTTGCCTGACATTTCAGTCGATCTATTGGCATAAGTAGTCAACCTCCAGGACTTTCCCTCCTATCTGGAGAAAGATTACTTCCTTCGGCATTCTGTTGTTACAGTTTGCCCACGTTTTGAGGGTAATAGCTTTTATTCTATTACTTCGAATTCCATAAATGCACTGGTTTTGTAATCTCTAGCTCCTCTGTGGTGGTAACACGGGCCTTACAAGATTTTACTTATACCATATTACCCTTTTGTTGGAGCTAGTGGTCCAGTCCACATTACCTACCTTGCCTCATGGCTGATATATACATGAGCTGTCACTTGAGCATCTAATCAGACTTCCTTAGTCTTCTACAGCACATAGAAAATAGAAACTCTCAGTTTCCAATATTTCACACACACAAATGCACGCACGCGCGCGCACACACACGCACTCACATACATCTTAACTACAAACATCTCTCTGTGAAAGCTCATTGTTCTGCTTGCTTTTTTGCTGCAATAAAAGCCATGGCCAACAGCAACCTGAGGAGGAGAAGGTTTATTTGACTTAAAAGGGTTCCGTTCATCACTGAGGAAAGGAAAGCCAAGAACTCAAGGCAGGAACCAGGAGGCAAGACCTGAAGCAGAGAACGTGGAGAAATTTAGCGTACTGACTTGCACCCAGGGCCATGTTTAACTATCTTTCTTGTATTTCCCAGGGCCACCCAGACTACAGTGATACGACCAACAGTCGGCTGGGCTCTCTCTCCCACATTTATTATCAGTAACGGAAATGCGACCCAGGCTAATCCAGTAAAGGCTTCTTCTTCTAAGGTGACTCTAGATGAGTTTCAAGGAGACAGCTGAGGCTAAGTATGACACTCATCCTTGATCAACGGCACAAGTGCCTTGGACTGAGTGTAAAGCTTTAAAACTGGAGCTTGGGGATGGGGCAGAAACAGGCCGCCCTTGTCTGTGGACCAACCAATAAGATAGTATTAAGGACCTGTTACTAGTGCACAGTTTTGAAATCCTCTGACTTATTTTTGTGTTACTGGAGCTAAAATATATGAATGGAAACAACAGAATGGGAGAGGTGTTTGACTAATTTACTAATTCTACTAATTGCTTCCATCCCATAGTCCTTGCTTATGAGATCTGTGAGTCCACAGTGGGGATGAATGCCATGGCTGGGAGCTCTCTTAGAGAAGAAGCAGTCTATTCATATCACAATAGAACAGGGAGGGGCTGGAAAACAAAAGCAGCAGTAAAACCACTTCCTCAGAGACATATTTCCAGCTTGGTCTCTGTCTAAATCAGGGTTTCTGTTGCACTGAGAAGACACCGTGACCACAGCAACTCTTAGCAAAGAAAACAATTGAATTGTGGTGGCTCGCTTACAATTAGTTCATAGGTTTAGTCCATTGTCATACTGGCAGGAAACAAGGCAGCGTGAGTCAGAGATGGTGCTACAGAAGGAGCTGAGAGTTTTTATATCTTGCCTCGCAAACCACAGGAAGTGGTCTGGGACACTACACGGTATCTTGAGCATATATGAGACCTCAAAGTCTGCCTCAACAGTGACACATTTTCTCCAAAAAGGCCACACCCACTCCAACAAAGCCACACCTCCTAATAGTGTCCTTCTCTTTGGAGACCATCTTCCTCCAAACTCCCAGTCTCACCTCCTAAACTTTCTTTCCCTGCCCTCAGTGTGCCGTGAGAAGGGCACCAAACACTGGACATACGAGCTCTAGGATACAGCTCGTTCAGATCATAGCCTTGTTTCTCATCAAGATAAAGAGACAGCAAGAAGAGAAGGCACGGGAAGAGGCAGCGTTACCATGGATGCACTGATCTTGGAAGCTCTCACTGTAATACGTACCGATATTTATAATTTGGAGAATATTGCTTTCTTTTCTACCAAGGGGGTGGGTATGCATGTTGGCAGCTAGGTAGAGACTGAGCTTTGGTTACTTCTTGCCATCCTGGTTACATCCTGCGCCTACCACCATTACCAGGGTCTTCCCAAGTGAAGAGCAGGTGCCAGAGCTTTGTACTTCTCATGTGCAACCTTTCAAGTAGTTAAGTTAAAACAACAGGAGTGGCCAAGGGATTTGACTAATTGTTGCAGTTCATCTCAACTGAACAATAATAAAGTGTAGAGCTAATGAGACGAACCAATTACAGTTTGTGAAATATTGGTTCGAACAGATAGGCATTGTGAAACAGTAATTAAGTATTTTCATATCTGTAGTACTTGAGGTGTTAGACTAGACATTGTAGTTGGGAGTTTAATTTAAGTGTACAGAAATTCTTTTTCTTTTTTTAAAAAGTTATTTATTTATTTATTAAAGATTTCTGTCTCTTCCCCACCGCCGCCTCCCATTTCCCTCTTCCTCCCTCAATCAAGTCCCCCTCCCTCATCAGCCCAATGAGCAATCAGGATTCCCTGCCCTGTGGGAAGTCCATGGACCAGCCACCTCCATCCAGGTCTAGTAAGGTGAGCATCCAAACTACCTAGGCTCTCACAAAGCCAATACATGCAGTAGGATCAAAAACCCATTGCCATTGTTCTTGAGTTCTCAGTAGTCCTCCTTGTCCGCTATGTTCAGCGAGAGAAGCTAAATAAGAAGGAGAACCCAAAGAAAAACATATAGGCATCCTCCTGAATATTAACCTTCATCAGGCAATGAAAGGAGACAGAGACAGAGATCCACATTGGAGCACCGGACTGAAATCTCAAGGTCCAAATCAGGAGCAGAAGGAGAGAGAGCATGAGCAAGGAACTCAGGACCGCGAGGGGTGCACCCACACACTGAGACAATGGGGATGTTCTATTGGGAACTCACCAAGGCCAGCTGGCCTGTTCTAAAAAAAAAAGCCCAGGATAAAACCGGTCTCGCTGAACATAGCGGACAAGGAAGTGTACAGAAATTCTAAGACCAAGAATCTTATAGGGAAATTACTCTTTTATCACATAGATTTGTAAACACCAGTCTTAATGATTAGGGAAGCATATTTTAAATGAGTCACATGCCAAAGGCATCCTAAAAATGTAAAATTTGAAGGTTTATTCTAGGTACAGGAAAGTGCCTAGCAAAAGTAGTGAGGGGTAAAGACAGGAATAATATGTCAGAGTCATGTCTCACTAAAGCACCCAGAGTCTGAAAGACAGCAGTGAAATGTCCATCATCAGTGGGGTGGCTCGGGTCTCACTTTCATTTGTATAAGCTAACCACATACAGGAGCCATGGAAATTAGTTTTCCATGTCCACACTTCTTTTTTCAGGACAGTACTATGGTTAGCCTCCAATTGCTGGTGGCTTTGACTTTTTCCATTTTTATAATGGTGCAAAAACAAAACAGACTCAGTAGACAACCTACTCTAAAGTTCAAATCTTTATGTTTTCCCAGGATAGTATTAGGAGAAGTTTATGTGATACTTGACAGTGGCAGCTAGCTGCGCCTCTCTGTGAGCTGTTAGCTACAGGGGAAACAGCTGATACTAAATGGTGAATATTGGTAAACAAAGATGCTCTGAAGATTGGTGCATGTTCAGTTTCTGTTGGTGTAGCTGGAACTCCATCAGAAGTTGAGTAGCATCTGTATATAGAAAGACTTAGAGCCTCCCATTTCAGACTTTAAATTTCTGGAAACTTTCCAGACACTAGATTGTTCTAAAGACTTGGAACAATCACTCACTTATGTATGGAGTCTTGGCACAGTACCAGCACACAAGGGAGTCCAAGGACTTAGATATGATTAATTTTTCTCAAATTTTAAACTCTGTGTTATGTTTGAAGCAGAAGTTTTAGACACAGCCCCATTGGATCCTCAGGTTCTCCTGAAATGTTCCTTTGTCTGTTGATGTAAAGACCCAACAATAATAAATCTAAAACATCTTTGATCATATGAAAATTATTTAACTTACCAAAGACCTGTCAGGTGGTTGTGATCTCACTGCTTAAGTAGTATGAGCTAACAGAGACAGTCCCACAAGAGGCATACCAACTCAGATCATTCCATGAATAAGTCACCCAAAAGTATCAAACACTACCTTATTATACAAGTATCCAGAAAAAAATGTAGCATAGGTAAATATAAGATGGAAAGAGCTTTCATATAGATTTCTTAAAATTAAATTAATAAACTCCAGGGTCCAGAATTAAATTATCTCATGAGCCTTAAAGATATTATCTCTCTGGTATCCTACATAGCAAAAATAAGCAGGCTTAAACTCCTTAAGGTTGGTATACCCATCAGAATCATGTACTCATGAATTTAGAAGGAAACAAGCAACCTAGTGACATTATGGCATAAACAAAAGATAGAGTAATTTAAGTAACAATGAGAATGATACACAGTCTCCATTCGCACAGTCAAGGAAGAACTCATTTCTCTTGTACGGGTCCTCTTCCACTTCAGTCTCAGCTCTCTTACGAGTATACCACTCAAAACTCACGTTCAAAGCCATCATTTATGAACTTACAGAGTTTACAAATACAGCACTTAAAATTCTAACTCCACGTGCATTTTATTTGGAGGTAAATGCTATAGAAAGTTAATAGCTTCCATGACTAGTGAATACTAGTGTCAGCAATACTTCATGTGAACCGTGGCCATTGCCGCAGGTTGTAATTCCAGCTATCAGCTCGGGGGGAGACAGCTGATACTAAGAGGTGGACTTTCTTGACCGTGCCCTCATGACTGGGACTAGTGCTCTTTTTTGAGAGACAAGAGAAAGCCTGGGGAGCTCACTCATCCCTTCCACTGTGTGAATCCACAGCAAGCACACAACTATTTACAAGCCAGAAAGTAATCCCCGACCAGACACCAGATACGCCACAGCCTTGATTTGGGAGTTCCCAGTCTCTTAAACTTTTATTTGTTGTTCAAGCCACTTGTGGACAGCCTCATGAATGGACTAGGACAGAATTTAATTATGGAAGTTATTGACCTACAGATGCAGTTATTAACACTTCGTTCTCTACTAAAGATTAAAAAAATAAGCTGTTTGGTTCACATGTTTTAGAAGAGATATTTCACCACCTCACTTAATATAATCCTATGTTAAACATATAAAGATGATGCATTAAAAAATAACCCCAGTCTTGTGTGTTTACCAACAATTAAAAGAGCATAATTAGATAGTAGAACAGACATGAGGAGATTGGTCAATTTAGGTCAAACATAGTTTATTATTAGAAATAATATTTTTTCAAGCAATAAAAGCACTTTGCCTGAGTCAAATAAATAGATCCACATATTAATATCATTTTCTGTATGTGTGTGTTTGAAAATGATTCCTGGACCACGAATTCAGAAATATGATTAGGAGAGAGAATTAATTTAAAATTGCCACAACAAATCAAGCTTTGCAGAAAGGACAAGGGGGGTTCAAGCCCTTATTTGAGACATCTTTTTGGAGTCAGCCTAAGAGTTGAAACAGACTAAACTGAGATGTGGTGGAATCCTCTGTGCCCAGACAGACTTGGCTCCTATTACCCAGAGCAACTGCTGTGGGCTGCACCACAAAGAAGACCGAGCTGCGGTGTGTGCGCTGAGGGACAACCTGCTCACATTCCTGCTAGATTAAGCAATATGTTTCTGCATTGGACCAGATGAAATTTTTTGATAACATCAAACCTCAAATCCAAAATCTTTCAGCAGCCAGACTTTTAGTTCCAAACTCTTCCTAATTATTGCCAGCACAGCAGCTGCCAGGAGCTCTGCTGAGACCGACCTCACATTTTTCCATTATCCGACTACAAAGGAGAGGGCAAGGAAGACCGTTCCCCTGCGACAGCTATCTAATTTGGCTCAGATTCAGAGGAGAGGAGGGTGGGGCATTTGGGTCACAATGGAAGAAT